TTTTTTTTTTACTTTTCCCTTATAATTGCTCTCATTTACTTCATAATTTGTCCTCCTTTGCTCATACAATTATAACTTTTAATATTTTAAAATAATCTGCTTAATTTTAGGGGTCAACTACTGAGGGTATAAGTTCCAATCAGTTATCTGTCTAAATGTTAGATTAATCATTTGAATAAAATATAACGTGCAATATATTCATACGTTTATGAGAAGGCTTAGCGCGTCAAGGCATGTATTGATATGACTTGAACGCAATTCACCAGATTGACATATAAATGATTTTGCGGACCACTCAGCAGAGGACAGAGGCCCCACTCGTTTCTTATAGAGTTATTTTAACATTGAGATCCTAAATTCAGAGTAACCTTAGAAAATTCAGGGTGGCTTACAGCGCCTTTAATTGCAATGCGTTGAATCTGAATTATGCAGAATAGTTTGAAACATATAGAAGATAACGGAAATCTCCTTTACTTCACCAAACAAACAGTTTGGCTTTGAAAAAGTCAATTTGTTTGATAAGCAGCAATATTGCTAATTACTGGACCTGTAAAAAGTTGGCCGAAATGATTCTCCAGCTTGAGCATTGCCTAAGACACTTAGGTTGTTAAGTTAACAAGGAATATCAGCAAATTGGGAGATAAATTTTGTAATTTTAGCATACTATTGGTTGAGTCTGATAGAATTGGGTTGGGTCTAAGTGAATTAGAATTGTAACTAATTATAAACTATCGAGAAATATAAAATAATTTTTAATTTATCTGGTTAAGATGACCTTAAATCCGCATCGGCTCGCTTTTCATGGAAGTACCTTTTAGTTTTATTAAGTTGTCTTAATACTTCGACAAAATATGCTATAATCTGGTATTTAGCAAAGCTGCAGTTGTGAAGTCTGTAAAAAGTTAGCTAGCCTGAATGTGTTATGGGGATGAACATTTTTTGATTTCTTGCCAAAAAATTAGGAGACACTACTTTGTTGATCCTTGCTTGTAGGTCGAGTTCGGGAGAGGTGTTGCTAGCAGCCAAACGGGATGGAAACAGGTCACTTAGTGACGAAAGCAGAAGTGAATGCCAATCATTCCGACTCATCCATTCCGTCAGCTTAGGCCAGAGAACTGCTGGTTGTAGCCGAATTTCAGTCAGTTGTTGGCGGCCTGGAGTCGAGTCGGGTTCGGTCATGCCGACAAATCGCCTCGTCTCTGACAAAGCCTTAATCCCCTCAGAACTGGCCTTTTGCCAGCAATTCGGCAGCAGCTCTTCATTACCGATCCGCCAGCCTGTGCTGTCGGAGGCTGGCTGAGCTCGCAGGCCGACGGCCGAGACAAGGGCCCTGGGTATGAGGTCTTCGGGGCAGATGAGTCCATGTGACGCCGGTGACGCTTGCTCCGTATCTCTGGACGTACCGGTCACTTGTGACCGGTCAAGAGCTACTCCAAATACCGCCTCCGGAGAGTGAAGAGGGAGTGGGCAAGTCGAATGCCGACAGTTGCCCAAGTGTAGGCCTCCGGTTTGGTTGGTTCTCGACAATTGTCCAATACTTTGAACCCCGCCACGCTGGCCCGACAACCCGACAACCAGCCGGGCCTGATGACGAGGCGATGAGGCTGGGGCCGGAGTGAGAAGCCTGTGGGGACCGGACCTTTCAAAACGAGTCAGCAGTAGTTGATGGCGAATGTGCTCGGGTGGGTGGAAGAAGCGACAGTTGCCAGGCGGCCGGCGACAGTAGCGCTGAGAAGAAGGGATCGTCACGAATAAACATCCAATTAACAAAACTGGCCTGCGGATAAAACTGGACTGAAGCGAAATGTCACAAATAAACTTCCTTTTAACTGCTTCGGCCCACAAGCAAGGCTGCACCGATGCCAAATCGCAGGGCCCTGACTGTACCAACTCTTTTTGCCTGCCTTTTAAAGTCTAAAGCTGGTGCATTTTATATTTTGTTGTTTGTTTCTATTCACTTATAGAATGATCAATTTATAGTGATAATAAATCTGCACGAATAGTTATTATCTTTTCTCATTATGTTATTTTGCTAAGATTTAAATTAATTTTAAAAGATTATTTAGAATTGAATACTGGAATTGTTCATTTTAATATTCCTATTAGATTATGTGTTAATTTGTTAAAATTTAGCTAGTTTGCATTTAGTTATTTATATAAGGGGCAGTTTTATTTAATTAGAACAATTGAAATTTTACCAAGTTTGTTTACTTAGATGCCTGAAGATGAATATTATGAAGCAATAGGATGATTTATTTTTGC